TATGTTTTGATTACATGGAAAGAAGAATATTCTAAGACATATTGATGTTGCGGTGGCAGCCCGGCTGACGGTGAGTGTTTCTTTTTTTTACTTCCTCTCGCATTTCTGTTTTCTCCCCCGTGTCTCCTCGCCTCTCCCTCTGTGTGTGTGCTCTCTCCCTCTCCGCCCTGGAGCCCGGCTGATGACCCGCACCTGTGTCTCATCAATCTTCACCTCCGCCTGCCACACCTGCCTGCCATCAGCCTCATCTTCAACAGTATTTCTACCCCGGTTCTCCACTCCATCTTCGCTTGATCATCGTCGCTCTAGTCCTGGTGCCACTGCTTCGTTCAAAGCTCTCCTGTTTCTTGTTCCCTAACCTGTTGTCTCCCGAGACTAACCCTGTCTTTTCTTTCTCCCCGCCAGGTCCACTCACCTCCGCCATCCAGTCAGTCAGCCGGGCTCGCCTACCTGCCTTCTCCCCTCGCCTCACCTCCGCGGCGTCCACCCGGCTTCCCTCCACGCTCCTCACCTCCCTCGCCTCGGACTCCAGCCCCCTCTCAGTCGCCTCGCTCGAGCCTTGCCAGCCCCGCCTGCTCCTTGGTCCTCCGTGCCCTCGTCTGCTGGCGTCCTGCTCACCTCATCCCACCTCCCGACTCCCCTCGTCCCTTTTTTCCCCCCTCAATAAACCTCTTTTGGTGATCTGACAAGAGCTGCGTTTGAGTCCGTTCTGTCCACATCCGTAACAATTGATAATTTGTTAATTTCTTTTGAAAATAAGACAACCTTGAGTTCCATAATACACTTAACAAAATTATAAACGTAACACTTTTGTTTTTGCCCCCATTCATCATGAGCTGAACTCAAATAGTGTTCACAAATCTGTCAAAATCTGTTAGTAAGCACTTCTCCTTTGCTGAGATAATCCATCCACCTCACAGGTGTGGCATTTCAAGATGCTGATCAGATAACATGGGATTTGCACGGGTGTGCCTTAGTCTGGACACAATAAAAGACCATTCGAAAATGTGCAGTTTTACTATATTTGGGGGGGTTAGGGTTAGGTATGTCAGTCAGTATATACCAGTAAGTATCTGGTGTGACCACCATTTGCCTCATGCAGTGCACATCTCTTTTGCATAGAGTTGATCAGGTTGTTGATTGTGGCCTGATGAATGTTGGTCCACTCCTCTTCAATGGTTGTGCGAAGTTGCTGCGTAAGATGCAGGACCTGGAACATGCTTTCATATACACCGATACAGAGCATCCTAAACATGCTCAATGGGTGACATGTCCGGTGAGTTTGCTGGTCTTGCAAGAACTGGAATGTTTTCAGCTTCCAGGAATTGTGTCCAGATCCTTGAAACATGGGGCCGCGCATGATCATGCTGCAACATGAGGCGATGTTCGTGGATGAATTGTCTGCCATCTGCCCTGTACAGTGAAAACCGGAATTCATCTGTGAAGAGAACACCTTTCCAATGCGCCAGACGCCATCGAATTTGAGCATTTGCCCACTCAGGTCAGTTACGACTACAAACTGCAGTCAGGTCAAGACCCAATGAATTAGCGAGTGTGACGAGCATGCAGATGAGCATCCCTGAGACAGTTCCTGACAGTTTGTGCTGTAATTCTTTGGTTGTGCAAACCGATTGTTGCAGCAGCTGTCCGGGTGGCTGGTCTCAGACAATCTTGGAGGTGAAGATGCTGGATATGGAGGTGCTGTAAATGCTCCGTACTTGTATAGCGCCTTTCTAGTCTTTTCGACCACTCAAAGCGCTTTTACACTACATCTGCATTCACCAGTCATACACATTCATACACTGAGCCTAAGTGCTCAAACATTCACACACATTCATACACTGGCGGCAACAACAACAGCCGCCAGGGGCAAATTTTTCTTGCCCAAGGACACTTCGACACGCAACCTGGGGGAGCCAGGGATTGAAGCGCCCCATAGTAGCCTGTAGTTACACGTAGTCTGCGGTTGGGGGCCGGTTGGATGTACTGCCAAATTCTCTGATACGCCTGTGGGAACAGCTTATGGTAGAGAAATGAACATTCAATTCAAGGGCAACAGGTCTGGTGGACATTCCTGCAGTCAGCATGCCAATTGCACACTCCCTCAAAACTTGCAACATCTGCGGCATTCTGCTGTTTGATGGAACTGCACATTTTTATTGTGGCCAGCCTAAAGCTGAAGATACACGGAGCAACTTTTAGAGCAATTGTGCTGGGCAACGTTGCCGTCAGTGGTAATGAGTAAAGATTACTACCGTAATCCCCTTCCCCCACCACTCCACCACCCACCCCACACCGCCGCTATCGGTTCAAAACATAGTTGGATTTGCCTCCAGCAACATTGCCCAGCAACATTTCTCAAAAAGTTGCCCTGTGTATCATCAACTTAAGGCACACCTGAGCAATACCCATGCTATCTGTTTAGCATCTTGATATGCCACACCTGTGAGGTGGATGGATTATCTCAGCAAAGGAGAGGTGCTTGTCACTTCTATTCAAAATTATCCAACAAAATTTTTCAAATCAAGACAACAAAAGGATTTTTAATTACTGGAGATTTAACTGTTCACTATGATGTCATAGGAATATACTGAAGATATGAAAAACCTTATTCAACAGTACATTTTTAATTTCTAATAATGACAACAATCTAACACAGTAGCAACACAAAGGACGCTAACCTTAGCTGCTAGCATGGCCGATGTTCACAGCAGTAGGGTTAGCCGGTCAACACAATTGCTGACTTACGTTTAGGAACACACCCATGTGATGGTTAGGGTTAGGGTTAGGGGCTTTAGGAAGCTGTCAATGCCTTTTATACGCAACCTAGCCAGCTAATAGCGCTTCTGGTCTAGACAGGGCATTTCATACAGATGCGCCCAGGGGCTTCTCATACGCCAAAGGGTACCTTTTGCATCAAATACTATGATCAAATAATGCTTTGTCAGCCTTTCTGACGCCCTGAAATGAAAACAACACATGAGTAATTATGAATAGGCACATTTGTGGTAAACTTTTGTGCATCCGGCAGCAGCACAGATCTGGTATCTACAGTGCTCACTAACACAGATTTGTCAACAATATTTGAGAGAAATAGGCCTTTTGTGTACATAGAGAAAGTCTTAGATCTTTGAGTTCAGCTCTTGATGAATGGAATGAATTTATAATTTTCTTCTGTATATGTCATAACTGAAAATGAAAAGAAACACATATTTGATTTATAGAAAAAGAAAATAAGACAAAATAAAAATAAGTTACAGTTATGTTAACAATGTCTGTTTGAAAAAAACAAGAAACAAAGACTACATTAAAGCTGTAAGCGCGTTGGGCGGGCCCTCGCACGTGAAGCACGTTGAGGTGTGATGCGGCCGCGTTGCAGATTCTGGAGCTCTGCTGGTGTGGCTGTGAATTTGCCATGTGCTTTGGACGTTGCAAAGGTGTTCATCTTCACTTCCTGTGTCCCCTTTGTGGCGCTACATAGCACTTTGCACTACGACTATAACTGAAGATGTAGATGTGTTCGGGGCGGGACTGTTATCAAGCACGTAAAGTGTGGTGCAGATGTACACTGAAGTTACAACAACTTCCTCTTTCATGGTGAATCATTGATTTTGGACGCCACGCCACGTGCATGCCGTATCACTGAAACTCATCATTTGTACAACTTTTAATTGTCAATGGCTTTAGAGTACACTTCGCTGTCTACTCTAAAGCCAATGGGTTTAGACTGCACAGCAAAAATCTGTAGTCGGTCGGACTAAATCTCTAAGAGGAGTTTATTAAAGTACTGAGTGTGTAAATCACCAAAAATGACCATTTGAAAATGGCCGACTTTCTGTTGGGTGTCGGGCATCGCTCCAAGAGGCTTTTTTGTACGTCTGGACATGATACATGTGCCACAGAAATTTCTATTTCTGGGCTGCTCTGCAGGGGGCGCTAGCGAGCCATTTTGCCAAGCCCATTTTTCGCCACATCTGAATTATGTGCAAAGTTTGATGAGTTTTAGAGTATGTTTAGGCCCCCAAAGTTGAGGTTGAGCAATGAACAATAATCCCTTCAGTTTCAATAGAGACCTCGCGCGGTTCGTGCTCGGGCCCTAATGAAGTTAACTTAACTAATGAAGAATTTGAAACATTTTCAAATGTAACAGGGAAAAACTACTACTGCTGGAAATTACAACTAACTGTCCAGGAGCTTCCCAAGTTGCAAGATGAAAATGTTATTCCTGGTTAAATACACATTAAAGAAGTTAAACAACTTACCAGTGGCTGCAGTAATGCTCACTCCACTGCTTCTGGCGTTCACAAACACAGAGAAGAGAGTGAACGGGTATGTAGTTCCAGCATTGAGAGATGAGACTGTGTAAGTTACTGGTCCATCTCCATCTGGTGCAGTGATGTCGACCTCTGCACCATTAAACTGGAGAATAAAGCTGATGTTGTTGTTCACTTTATTCCACTGCAGAGTGATACTGGTCTCATTTTGTGCTGTAGATTTGAAGTTTCTTGCGTTTGAAGGAGCTGAGACAAAAAGAGCAGAGAAAATGGATTAACAAATGATTGTCAATAAAAGTGAAAATGTTCCCTTTCACAACTAAATAGTGTTCATTTTGTGTCCCCACACTGATAGAAATTAATGCTGTCTGTCAGGGACAGAGTGAGTGAAACAATTTTTTTATTACTAAGAATGTTTTTTTCTAGATCCAGATGTCACATTCTGTAGTCATATCCATCAGACTTTATTTGACAACAGATGTACTCCACGATAAATAGGTAATCACAATGTAACAAAAGTTTAAAAAGTAATTATTCTTAAAGTAAAAGGATTTTACAGTGTTGGCCAAAACAATGCTGAGTTAAATTAACATGCAATAAAGTGCACATTCCTTTAATGAATATTATACCCAGTAGAAACGTCTTAGTTTTACACTGGTGCTCTGAAAAGCAGATGATGGCTCGCTAAGCAGATACAGAGCATAGAAATAAAGTGACATATATTACCGGTAACTGCAGTAATGTTTACTCCACTGCTTCTGGCGTTCTCAAACACAGAGAAGAGAGTGAATGTGTATTCAGTTGCAGCAGTGAGAGATGCAACTCTGTAAGTTACTGGTCCATCTCCATCTGGTGCAGTGATGTTGATCTCTGCATCATTAAACTGGAGAATAAAGCTGATGTTGTTGTTCACTTTGTTCCACTGCAGAGTGATACTGGTCTCATCCTGTCCTATTGATCTGAAGTCTTCTGTTTTTGGAAGAGCTGGAAGACAGAAGAAGAGAAGGGAATGAATTTATCAACAAACAGGTTTGCGTGAAACATATTCATGCTCCAAACCTTATGGTGGCTATGAGTGATACAATCATTTAAGACCCACGTTTCCACGTGTCACATCATAGCGTGGCTAACGTTCCTACAGGGCAACATGTGGATACACCATGGGGCTGCTGGCCCATCAGCCCCAATGGGCTCTTCAGGCTGTCACCCGCACGCAGTAAGCTCCTCTGCACATGGAGACACAGTCAGTTGTTGAGCTGCTGTTGTCCCTTTCTCATATTATCATAATTGAAAAGCATTCACATCAGAAAAACACAAGAGCCCATCCCCGTCCTCTGCTTTTCTGTGGCCTCCCCACCTCTCACCCAGCAGTCAGTGTTAGTGGAGGTTTTTCACTGTGGCATGAGTCTGACACAGAGAATGAGCTCCTGGAGTTTTTCACTCAATCTCTGCCGCAGCCTATTTCAGATCAGCCCTCCCATGCCCCTCCCTCCTCACACATCAGACCTAACATACTGGAAATCCCCTCACATTCTTTCAGTGGGGGTTCCCTTTGGGAGAGTGACGTCGCATGTCACAGTTTACACGGACACATCTCATGTGGTAGGAGGGAAATGGCCACAGCCTCCATCTCTCCACATAAACTGCCTGGAGCTGTCCATAGTGCTGAAAGCGCGGAAACACTTTGCTCCACTGCTGAGAAACAAACATGTCATGGTGAGAACAGACAACACAACAGACGGCCGCTGCTTACATAAATCGTCAGGGCGGCGTCCACTTAGCTTGGCTGCTGGAGATATCCAGGAGCCAGCTGCTGTAGGCCCACAAGAATGCGCTCTATCAAAGCTCTGTCCATTACCTGTGTTCAGAACAAGACTGTGGACCTCATGTGACGCGAACGAGTAGAAACTGAATTTCACTCTTAATCAGACTCTTTGGGACAAATTCGGTGACGCAGAGATATGTTTGCCTTATGAGAAAACGTTTCCCTATTTCCTAAATAACTTTAATTCTGGTGGCACCAGAATGCACAAGCGGAGGATTGTGCGCCACTGCCTGCTTTGTTTACGATTTTATTAGGCTCTGATTGGCCAACATGGCTTTAGGTTTAATGTTACAATATGTATAAGCACAGGCGGAAGTCTCTCCCAATGAGCCGTGCCACTCTGACACCTGAAGTTCCACTGAAGAGCTGAAGAGCTGGTCGGATGTTGAAGCAGTTGCGACACTGCTATTTAGGCATTCTACTGGTCGGCTATGTGCGCAGTGCACAGTATTGGGAGTAACGCGTCACAAAAGTAACGCAATTAAAGTAATTATTGCTTTTTGCTGGAACGCAGTAATATAACGCATTACAAAAAAAGAAAAATTGGTAATATTATACCCATCACAATCTCAGCAATGGGTGTTACAAGGCATTTTAACCCAAAATTAATGTTTTTTTTTAATAATTCCCCAACACCAAGAAACATTTTGGAACCAGAAAAACAAATCCATGAGTAAAAGAGCGTTATTTCCTGTTGCAGGAATCTGATGGTTGAGATTGTAGGCAGGGTGCAAACTACAGGGGAGCTCGGCTCCTGATCCTTTCGGAGTGTCGGGTTCAAATAATCAATGACGTTATGCTGCTGTACCTTGCGTGTTTATGGGGAAATGATTCATCATATTTCACCTATTTTGCTATTATTTTTCTTGTTCTGAAATATTAATTATAAAAGCAGTATTCATTTCATATTTGACTGGATTTTGAAGGTTTTCTGTCTGATGAGAACACATTTATACATGGCAAATATTCACCTTACAGACAGGAAAGTAATTTCTTTAACAGTGTACTTGTTAAATACTGTGCTGCTTACAACATGATCACTAGATTTCACAGGTTTATCTGCTGTATATAACCTTCTGAACAGCATTTAGCAGAAGAAGAGTAAAATATAGAACATTCTTGTGTACACAGACGGGTACACAAATCTAAATTTAGAGTGAATCTAATGTTAAAGGTACGATATATAATTGCTCACATATAACTAAACTTAATGCAACAATGAATCTCTTTACAGTATGTGAGTAGAAATAAGATGCATTACTTGTTGAGTAACAGATGAACGGGAAAGAGAGGGAGCAGTTATCATCTGACCAGCGACCAGAGTTTCTGAAAGCTGTGGTGACACACTGCTCTGGACTGTCTGGTTGCCCACTGGCCCAGTTTTGAAACAGAGACGTGCTCCCATCAGACCACAGTTGTTCCAAGTGCAGACCGATCCACACAGAGTCCCCAACTGTCAGCTTTGTGATGATGTCATTTTCTGCCCGATTTCGTATACTGCAAGAGAAACAGGAATATATTGAATTGAGTTTAACAGAAAAGGTAAACATAAGAGAAAGAAGAAAGTCAGACAATGCAGTGCATTGTTAGTGATTGTTGCGAAATATAATATTGTAGCTAATGTGATTATTTAAGGATGTGATAACAGGACAACGTAACTGTTGATTGACATCTTATCATCAGTGTAACATAATCACCTTCAAACTAAGGTATGTTCTATTACTAATAAGACTTGTAATCATCATCATCATCATTTTCATCATCAGTATAAACTATGTGACTGAGGTGCAAGTGCTTCACAGTCATAAAACTAGGGTTGAAAAAGATATGACTCATTACAGTTAAAAAATTATATTACTAACATTACAGGAAGAGAATGATTCAAATGATAGAAAGGATCAAATAAAACAGTTGGCAGATTTCCAATCCATTTGGGATTTCTATCATCTGTCATAATACTGAATAAGCCGAGTTTCATCAACAGAACAGATAGTAGTTGTTAAGTAGTTGGTTCAGTACTGAACTATTGTATGTGTTGGAGTCTTCATCAGTGCACACTGTACCTGGCTAGATCGACGTAATTCTCCCTGCAGTATCTCTGAGCTTCAGTCCAATTCAAAGAAGTGTTGACTTTTACAAAGGATGATGTGCCATTTACTGAACCTGGAAATATATCGATGAAGAGAAGTTATTAACAATGTGCTATGCAGAAGATCTATTTAGCTTCTTGTTAATTCTTATGCTATAAAAAAACTCACCGTTGTAGCACACAAATCTTTGTTGGTTGTTGCATGTATAGTCCCACCACTTTCCATTGTAGTCCAAGTAATAGTAATAGTAATTGAAATAGTAATCGTTATTGTAAGAGCTTTGAAGCAGCACACAGTACTGTTGTCCATAAGGATTGTAGGGATGTCCAGGAGCCCAGTTTCTGAACCCTGTCTCTCCTTCATTGTAGAAGCTGCTGTCATTCAGGGACCATCTCCAGCTGTCACCATAGAGGCCTATCCAAGCCTTGCCTGTTCAAACAGATATTCATTATATAACAGCTGGAATTAAAATAGTTGCTGAATTGACTTAAATTGTAGATGAATAAACTGAACATCCCTTAAATTATGTGTCACATAATTCATAGTTCTATTTTTCATGAAGGGTCTTTGTTGTTCTTTCACATTCCATAATATATTTTATAGTGTTATCAAATCAAAATAAGCTTTGCAAAAACTTGGTTGTTGCCTGGCTGTTGTATATATATATAATTATACATCAGTATATATACACACATTATGTTTATGTTCTGTATATGTTTCCAATACTTGCCTGTGTAGCTTTGTGTGGTCCTAAGTAAAGCATTGGCATCAATTGGGGTTCTTATGGTGGCCAGGTCAGTGTAGACCCGTCTGCAGAAGCTCTGAGCTTCAGTCCAGTTCAGTGGCCTAGCCTCAAAGTAAAACTGACGAGTTCCTAAAACAAAGCATATTCAGTTTTTCATTACTTACTTTTATATAAAGCATGTAGACTCTTACAGTGAACATGAAGAGGCACTGTGAATCAGGTATTTCAGCTGTACTGTGGGGTTTTACAATACACTTTCCTCGTTGGTGAAATTTTTGTATGCTAGCAGAAATCACTGTATCATGACTACTGAGCAGGTAAAACAATTAGTGCTCTATGCCGTGTTGGATTTAATGTCAGATCAAGTTTCAGTCTGCCTCAGTAAACTGGTCTTCACTGTTTAACACTCACAATAAAAAAAGAACCTGTTCAACTACTGACATTTTTTTGGTCTTATGGTGTACTCTTTGTCTCAGTTTATCACAGAAATACACGCTGTATATGCAGTACTGAGTCAGAGATGTTAAAGTAAGATGGTGTTTATGGTGTTATATGGAAAGATGAACATTTTAAGTTGTATTGATAACTTGTTAATACTGTTTGAAAATCAAACAGACAATCTTCAGTTTCATCTTGTCACAACTGAAATAAAAATAATGATAATTTAAAGTTATGTTTACAGGTACTCCCAGAAACACAGCAACATGAAGTCAACATGAAGTGAACTTAGTTACATGAACAGGTCATTAAAGAATATTATGTTATACAAGTGTTTATTTTTGTAATTTCCCATGGTTTGTGTAACAGTGCACCACTTATTATCCCAGGTTGTTTGTGTTTAGGTTACAAGTTTGACCAGTATACAGGACAATTGCTTGGAGAAGGGCCCTTCTTCTTCTCCTTCTTCAGATTGCATTGTTTTTGCCCGAGCTTATTTCAAGCCCGCAAAAGAATCAGATTAAGATTGGGTTCAAGTTCCTCGAGCCTTGGTTAGTGTGTTATAGCGGAGTAACAGACTTGGACTGAAAGAGCGTTTGTGCTGAAATTACTGTTACATGAGGTTCTGAGAGGAGAATGACTGATGAAAGGTAACGTGATGCTTTGAAGCAATTCCAGGCAAAAACAAAAGTGTTGCGTTTATAATTTTGTTCAGTGCATATTTGAATGAGAGAGGAGTGAATTAGTTTATTGACCAAATGAGTTGTGGGAGACCAATTTAAGGTAATTTTTTGATACTTGTGTTGAAAGTGAACAACGGAAAATGATTTTGTTAACTTTGGATCAATAACCTGATTTGAAAGATCTCAGCTTTTTCCTTTAGTAGTGAGTCGCAAACCTCCTCCAAAAACGACAGTCACAAGTATAAAACAAGTAAGGTGCCTGTTTAAACAAGTCACTTAACTACGCTTAAGACACAAAAAGAGGAAAAGAGAAGCTGCATGTCCAGCCAATCAAACCAACTGCAACTGAGTAAAAGTAAAATCAGCTGATCTTGATGGCACAATAGAGCTAATGAAGCACCATGAGTGAACCAGCTGGATAGACAGCTTCACTGCTTCATAAAGCTTCATCTCGCAATAACTACTCTGATGCCCACCTCATTTCCTACAACGCTCTTTACAGATGGATGACATCAGTGGGCCAAACCAAATCGAGGGTTTTCATTTGCTATAGTAATATTTCTTTGAATTGCATTTCAGTTGTTCTACGTAAATATGGAAAAATCCTCCTTAGTGCCCTGTAGACCCGTGTTTGAATCCGGGTAGGGAGACTGTTCTCGCCCTTCACTACACAGGGAAAAAACTACTCCGGTAGCTTCCCAAGTTGCAAGATGAAAATGTTATTCCTGGTTAAATACACATTAATAAAGTCAAACATCTTACCAGTAACTGCAGTAATGCTCACTCCACTGCTTCTGACGTTCTCAAACACAGAGAAGAGAGTGAATGTGTATGTAGTTCCAGCAGTGAGAGATGAGACTGTGTAAGTTACTGGTCCATCTCCATCTGGTGCAGTGATGTCAATCTCTGCACCATTAAACAGGAGAATAAAGCTGATGTTGTTGTTCACTTTGTTCCACTGCAGAGTGATACTGGACTCATCTCGTCCTATTGATCTGAAGTTTTCAGTTTTTGAAGGAGCTGAGACAAAAAGAGCAGTGAAATATAATAACTAACTGTACATAAAAGTGAAAATGTTCCCATTGACAATTAAAGATGAATCATTTTGTATCTCCACATAAATACAAACTAATACTGTCTGTCAGGAACAGAGCAAGTGAAACAATTCTTTGTATTACTAAGTATGAATGTTTTTTTCTGGATCCAGATGTCACATTCTGTAGTCATATCCATCACACTTAATATCACAACAGAGATGTACTCTATGATAAAAGTAGTATCACAACATCACAAAGGTTTTAAAAAGAAATTATTCTTAATGTAAAAAATATTTTACAGTGTTGGCCAAAACAATGCTGAGTTAAATTAACATGCAATAAAGTGCATGTTGTTAAGTAGCAAATTCCTTTAATGAATATTATACCCAGTAGAAACGTCTTAGTTTTACACTGGTGCTCTGAAAAGCAGATGATGGCTCGCTAAGCAGATACAGAGCATAGAAATAAAGTGACATATATTACCGGTAACTGCAGTAATGTTTACTCCACTGCTTCTGACGTCCTCAAACACAGAGAAGAGAGTGAATGTGTATTCAGTTGCAGCAGTGAGAGATGAGACTGTGTAAGTTACTGGTCCATCTCCATCTGGTGAAGTGATGTTGATCTCTGCATCATTAAACTGGAGAATAAAGCTGATGTTGTTGTTCACTTTGTTCCACTGCAGAGTGATACTGGTCTCATTTTGTCCTATTGATCTGAAGTCTTCTGTTTTTGGAGGAGCTGAGACAGAAGAAGAGAAGTGAATAAATTTATCAACAAACAACTTTGCGTGAAAAATTATTCATGCTCCATCTGAATGTTCAGGTTGCTCTATTTTGTCTTGCATTGTTAATAAAACCTAATGGTGGCCATGAGAGATATAGTTAATTAAGACCCACATTTGTCTAATCAAGAATGCTGTGTCACATTTTACACCTAACCACATCACAGAGTGTGTTTCATAAGACACATGTAATGAACAATAAATCAAGAATACAAATTCTTTAAGTTGTATTACTATGGGGAAATAAAGGAGTTTAATGTGTTGGCCAATACAGGACTTGATTTGAAGTAGAGAAGCAGGACGTTAGAAATAATACATTTTAGTTTCACACAGTCACACATACACACTGAAAATTCATCAGCTGTTTGATGCAACACCACCACTACTTGTAATTCAGTTGATTGATTATTTTTAATCTACTGTATACTTTCTCAGTTTAAACAGTACAATTAAGAATGTTAACTTTTAAATACTGTGCTGCTTACAACATGATCCAGGGTGTCCTCGGGGTCTTAAAAAGTCTTAAAAGGTAATAAATCAATTTTGCAATAATTAAGGCTATTAAAAATATTAAATAAAATTAAATAAAAGTCTTAATCGCCATTTAACAAGGTATTAAATTTTGAAGATATGTTTTTCAACGTAAAAATCCTTTTTGTCCAAAAGTTTGTTTGCTAAAAGTGTAGGTGAACGTATTTATTTATAATGCCTAGCCAAAAATACTAGACAGGCAGAGAATAGGGACTGTGTGATTAACTTCTGTAATGTTAGGCGCAGGGATCTACCGAGCGCCTATTTCACTCTTAAACACTCCAAAAAATAGATTCGTGCAAACCGGATAATGATTTACAAGTACAACCGACGTAATCTCCCACCCCACCGGACCCTCAATGCGAATCGTCCAAAACATAGTCGGAGTGGCTATCAGGAGTAACGGGATTAACCCGGCTGGCCAGTCGATCTGTGGCCACTTTGAACAAAACAAGAGCGAGATGTGCTACCAGCAGCTGAATCGGTAAGACAGAAGACAACAGGGAACATTCAAGGAGTGTGTGGGTTTGGATAACGTTAGCTGGCTATTTAGCAAAATCGGTGCCTTTTATTGAAACACGTTCAACTTTTCATAAAGCCGATGCTCTCGTTAATGTCACTTTTTGTCAACAGATCAATCACAGCCTGGATAGAGCGGGATTTTAAAAAAGGTTGATGTGCTGCAACAAACTTTATAAATGTTGAACTCAATGTTCTGCATAAATGGTTATTATTATTGATGAGTTAGTAGCCTGCCCAAAATCCAGGTCGGAGACTATCGTGTAACCTAGAGCATTTTTCTTACACAAGGTTAATGAATAAAAAACGACCCCAAACTGAAGCAGCTGTAATTTGAATTAATATTATACTAGTGGTAAGTTAAATACTATTATATGAAATTTTATTGAATATAGTAACATAATGAATGTATTAATATCAAACTTACAGTTAACTATTAAATTAACAATATACTTTTAATTTAATGTTATAAAAGTATACTAATACAGCCATTTAGACTAGTTCCTCCTCCCGGTTGTGCCTGTGTACACTACTAACATTATTCATCACTCTTAATTCTCTTTATCTTTGTTCCCTCCTGCCCTATTTGTATTTTGTTGTATTGATCAAGTGGTCGAGGAAAGTTATCACACATATCATTGCAGGCAAGCTCACATTGTCTACTTTAAATCAACTAAAACACAAAATTACACTGTTTCACATGATTTGCTGTAATGTTGGGTGCATAAACGTCATAGCTTATGTAAGACAGTTGTTTTTCGCAAGAAATCTGACCAGTCCTTCACATAGAAAACTGCTGGCTCATACAGGCTGTTATAGGCAACTGAGAAAGTTGGTGAATGCCTCTGTTTTTAGGTGGCGTTGCAACCTGATGACAAGGCAATAAATATGTTCTTTTTAAATACTCAGAAATGTCCCTTTTAAAAGGTGTGTGGCTGATTTAATCGGTTACAGCTCAAAGTGGCACGACAGTCTTAAAATATGTTGAAAAAGTCTTGAAAAAGTCTTAAAAAAGGTATTGAATTTTACTTCAGGATTCCTGTGTATATACCCTGTGATCACTAGTTTCCCACAGGTTTATCTGCTGTGTCTTCTGAACAGCTTTTAGTTTATGCAGAACAACAGACGTAAAGAACATTCTTGTTTCTGCTTTAACAGACTTTTAAACAAGTCTAAATTCAGTGTGGTGTATGGTACTGATCTTAAATGTAGGAGATATATTTGCCTTAATGCAACAATGAATCTCTACACAGTACGTGAGTAAATAAGATGCATTACTTGTTGAGTAACAGATGAATGGGAAAGTGAGGGAGCAGCTGTCATCAGACCACAGTCCTGAGTTTCTGAATGATGTGGTGACACACTGCTCTGTGCTGTCTGGTTGCCCACTGGCCCAGTAGTGAAACAGCGAGGTGCTCCCATCAGACCACAGTTGTTCCCAGTGCAAACCGATCCACACAAGGTCACCTGCTGCCAGGTTTGTGATGATGTTATTTTCTGCTTGATTTTGTATACTGCGAGAGAAACAGTAGCATATACACATCATGGGTGAGTTGAGTTTAACTGAAGAGGTAAAACAAAAAATTTCTAATCAGCATTGTTAGTTATTTTTGGGAAATATAATGTGATGGGTAGCATATACTATTATATAGGCCAAAAGTTAAGTAATGATTAAGTATAAATGTGCCAACTATACTGAGTTGGTGTTCAACATGTTTTGCATGTTATAGGCTAATTAGTATGTTTTATTACAGTTTTTCCCGGTTGCTTAAACACATTTCTTGAAATGATGCCTCTTTTTCTCAAAACTCTAAACACAAATCCACAACTTCTCACCCAATTCCCCAAACTTCCTATTTCCAGGTCAAAATTAAGCTCTCCACTAAAAACCATTAGATTTTCTTTCCACCGGCGGAATGTTTGTTTCAAAACTCAGTGTGTAAAGAACTGAGATCGACAAATAAAAGCTGGACTCAAGTATGCCTATTTGAAAGTGACAAATGTTAGGAAGATTTTGACAAATGTGATTAATTTATTTGTAAATTATTAAATATATTCACAGTTATGTTTTTTATTTGTGGATTTTTTTGTGTATTTGCAGATCTGTATCTGTATCTGTATCTGCAAAATATTTCTGTGAGTTTACAAATCTTCATTTTGTGTTTGTGGAAAATGTTTTATATTTACAGATTACCCATTTACACGTGGATCGCTCATCTGTTCACACAAATTGAATTGAAACAAAATGACCTCCATACAAATCACCCACCCAAACAAGCAGCGGAGGATCGACGCTTCGGCAGACTGCAGCGTGTGGGAGAAGTAACACAGTAATTAAGTGTGTAATTTACTGTGTTTAGGTGGCGGTGCACCAGTCTATGAGTGTGGCCATGTCGGGGCATCCTGTATGCATGTCAGGTGTCTGTAGATGCTCAGGTGTGTCAACAGTTTTGCTTTTATCCTTTGGCATCCATGGCACCGTTGGCATAAACATCTTGTTCTGTTTAGTATTACTTGAGCTTGTATCTATCTATAGCGAAGAGAACTGCACAAAATGTGATTTTTAATACCGATGTTTAATCAATCACCCTTTCAGTGGAAACTCTGTACCATGTCTCTGTACTTGGGGAACCTATGGCAACAATTAGCTGTTTGGGGATTTGAACCCCTCAACACTTGCTTACAATTATATGTGATTATTTATGGATGAGGTCACGTGACAACGTAGCTGTTGGTAAACATCTCAAAATCAGTGCAACATAATCACCTTACAATTAAGGTATCCTATTGGTACTATTTTTCTGTCAATCCTGCTTGTAATCATCACAATGATCATCATACTACGTGGCTTAGCCCCAAGGGCCTTACACTTGAAAATGTTTAACTTATAAGCAAAGCAATTAAAAAATAATAACAACAAATGAACAAACACAGAAGGGGAAGGATTCAAACGACAAAAAGAATCAAATAAAACAATTTGACAGATTTTTCAATCCATGTGGAATTTAATCAAGTGTGAGAATACTGAATAAGCTGGATTTCATCACAGAACAGATAGTAGTAGTTAAGTAGTTGGTTCAGTCCTGTACTCTTGTATGTGTTGGAGTCTTCATCAGTGCACACTGTACCTGGCTAGATCGACGTAATTCTCCCTGCAGTATCTCTGAGCTTCGGTCCAATTCAAAGTTCTGTTGACCTTTACAAAGGAGGATGTGCCATTTACTGAACCTGGAAATATATTGATGAAGAAAAGTTATTAAAACTGTGAAGATGGACTTGTAAACAATACTTACTTTGCTACAATGTATGCAATGTAACACCTCTAACATACACATCCTGTGCTCTTCTTCTTTGATCTCATTACAATTCTCTTGTATTGATTGCACTACTCGTATACTCTTACTTCTTTCCACAGGTATTTACCCCATTGATGTTTAATGTGCTAATAGCTCTTGCCAGAGATGAGTTAAGGTGCGTGACATCACTAGAGAGTGATGCTCATCCAGAGCAGCCATTGGAAAATCTTGTTCTGATTCCTCACATGGGCTTTCTAAATCCATCGGACTTTTCATCGGACATCGGAGATTTGGCTCTGTGCCCTTCTCAAGGACAAGAGTGACCGGCAATTCCTCCACTGCCAGCCATTATAAATTCTCATTGAAATTTCTTGTCAGCTGCAGAATGTACCAATTTTTAACTAGCTGAAAAGATCACTTTTTTAACTTTATCCATACAACGAAATACCAGCTAGTTCAGAAATGCATTCTGCTGCTTTGGACTTCATTATACTGAGACGTACAGACACACATTAATACACTGACAAACACATTACACACATACACACAGAGCAAGGTCAGAGGAGGAGAAAAGGAGAAAAGAAGGTTTCATTTATTTCCTGTCAGTTCAC